ATCATTGTCTTACTAAAAATGCGACTTCTTGTCTATAAAATGTCAGCCTTAAGAAAAAATATGTTATGTAAAATATTCCATAAATTGGCTCATTATTTTTGCTTCATATTTAAAAAGTTTTAAAGTAAAAAGTGGGGCATAGTGAGACTGTTCACTTATATATGTAAGAAGATATCTATCTTGTTTTCTACTTGCAACTTTTTAAATTTGAAGAATGTGCACACAGTTATAGCAAAAAAATCACATAGTGTCTAAAAAGTCACTTATACCTATCTAGTAAAAGAAGGTATTTGCCGGTATTGTCATAAGACTCGTCATCCTAGAATGACAATCTCCTAGCAACCGCGATAGAAATTTATACTGTTTTAAAAACTCTACTAATAGCTACCGTAATATGGTTTTACCTAATAGACCTTTTTAGCAAAATATTTTTTATTATGACGGCATCGTACACTTTCTGCAAATATTTTTGAAAGGTTAATCAGTTTCTATTTATGGCCTCTAGAGAAAGCTATCGAACTTGGAAAAATGGGAAAGTTAAAAAAATTACCGAAAATTTACAACATTCTTTCGAAATCCTTTTAAAGGACTAACCTAGCGGTGTACAAAATTAAATATCAATGAGAGAAAACTGATAAATAATAATTCATCAGCAAAATACAGGGAACTTTCAGTGGCGACCGAAGGAGGTGAAGACTGTTAAAAGCTAATTTAAAATCTATTGTGAGGCAACCTTTACGCAGGCCCCAAAAAATGAAATACTAAACACTTTTTGGTTTGATTGTAAAAAAAACTAAAATTCAATTTTCCAGATCTTGCGAGGCCCCCGTGAGGCCCGGTAGACCTCCCCCCCTCCCCCTTGAAGTCGGCTTTGTCAACAGAATCAAATCCTACCAGAGAAACGCAGAATAATATCACAAATATCACCGTCCTCTTAGCGGCTGTCGAAAGGGATGAAAATAGCCTTAAATAAGATAAACTTTATTCCCTTGAAAAAAAAAATGATACATTATTGAAATTTACAGGAAAGCCGCACGGAAATAACATGGCAGTGATCATCGTGTTCTCTTATGCCGTAATTCTGATAAGACTTTCTGCAACGTTCTGGCAAATTTCAATTTGATACCTGATTTTCCTCAAGGGATAAAATTTATTTTATAGGTTTATGGCTGTTTTCATCCCCTTCTACGACCGCTTTGAGAACACGGTGATCCCTGTTATTCAAGTGACTCTTAATTTATAATTAGCTTTGGCAGTTTCCACCCCCATCGCCAACAGCTGAGAGAATGTAATGTTCTCTGTTTAATAGTCCTCCGTAATTCGCTGATCAATTTCGAGCAGATGTCGATGTATCAGCTACCTACTTTCTGTTAATATTCAATTTTGTACACATCTAAGTAATTTTTACCCTTTCGCCCCTTAAAAAGATTTCGTGAGAATGTTAGAATGGATGTTAATTTTCCATACATTTTGTAAACTTCCTCGTTATTTCCAAGTTTGAACACTTTCCTTGAGGTACAAGAGTTTTTCTATGATTATATTATATTTCATTTCCTTTAGGACAACCAATTTTCAACTATTTCTTTGACTACCATTAGTATTTTCATCCTGTTGGTGATTTCTGGGGCAATAGCACGACTTCTGTTATTACATATTTAAGCGTTTCTTGAACCATATAAAATATAACGTTTGGTTATTTCCGGAAATTTAACGGATAACTTTTGGCTGTTAATTTCACACAGGTCTTTCCTTTTGCTTAAAATATACATTTAATAAGAAAAACACAGGAACAAAGGAAACACATTTCCGGTGCAAAAATATTTATTTTAAAATTTAAATTGGAAAATTAAAAAACTCAAAACAAGCAGTTTCTAGAAATTGAATAAAAGGTTCCTAATTTTTTTCATATTTTCGGGACTCCACTTTTTGTGTGCAATTTCTGCTAAAATAAAAACTGTTTCATGTAATTACACCAGCGAAACAATATATGCAACTTCCTAATATTGGATAAGAATTTTGGAAATGAATTGGTGTGAAATTTTTAATTACCTACCTAGGTATATTTAAAAAAAATGCGAGATCTTTCAATTTCTTTGAAAAATGAGATATTTTCGCGTTTGTTTTTTTTAAATTCAAAATAAAGATTTGAATAATTTTTACTAATTAACTAACTAATTTTGGAAAAAAGATGTTTAGAAATTTACTATTTGAAACGCAATTTATTACAAAAACCCAGAGGTAGGTATAGAAATCTTAATTTTACTTATAACCAGAGGGTTGTCTCTGTTATAACCCACTAGTGACGTAGAAATCATAAAAGACAAATGTTTGGTTTATTTTTTCCAGTTTTTATTAGAAAACCAATTTGAAACAGTAATAAGTCAACAAATAACCTAAAATGCTACCTACTTATTAATATTAACATTAACATTTATGGTACAGCCAAAATTTGACGCCAATGGATTATTGGAATCGTCTTGTGATTGTGGTAAATTTATAGAACAAGTTGCTTCTTTGCGTGTGATTGCTTCAGGCACCTGCACCCCTTGTATCTTTTCAGCAGTATCAATTTTGCTGGAAAGTGGAAATTGACTCTTCTATATAACCTTCAAACCTTCTACCACGGTAGATGACTTCCATCCAGCGCGGCGTTTGAGTGTTGTAATATCCCTAGATACGAGACGCAAGCCATGCCCTGTATATAAATTAGAATCTGTCAAGCCCATAGCTTATATTAACACTAACACATTAAACGTGTGCATTTTCCCTTTTGAAAATTGCAAATGAACCTTTTATGCTGCACATTTTGAGGCTTTAGCTTAGAATATTTTCTAATTAATTCAATTGGATTAACACAAAATACTTCATTTAACACAGCGAAGCTTCTTGATTTGTTCGTTTTACTATTTGAAATCATGATGTGGATATACTGCCCTTTGCCCTTCATATGGTCTATGCTTAGATGCGTCCAATTCCTCGCAACGGTAAGAGCCAAGAACTCCTAATATCAACGACATCTAACAACAACAAATTTAATAAATATAACTCAGTTAAACAATTCAGTAGAACCTACCTTATTCATAAGATGATCTTCGTCTAGGGCTTCACGCAAAAATTGTTCGATTTGTTCTCTTTCTAAGACCTAGGATTTTTTTTTGGTTGAAAATGTTTGTGCTTATAGACTTTAGAAATGCCACCAGTCTTCCGAATTTAGAAATTTCAATGTTCTTGTAAACTCTCAAAGTTGACTTCAGCATGGAATATTTAGTCCACAATTTGGACGGAGCTAATTTCCCACTTAAATTGAAGAAATAAGCCAGCAAGACATCTTCATTTACGCCTTTCGCCCCTTCTTTGATTCCCCAATCTTGAAATTTCTTCAGTTCTTTGTTGCATATATAGATTTTGATTTCTCCGGAATGATGCCTGCAATAGCCGCATTAGCTTTTTCTAAAATTTCAGATGGAATTTCCACATTTTCCATTTTTTCAGTTTTGGTTTTTGGATTTCAACGTGATTTTAACTCGGAAAATAATGTTTGTTTCCTGACAAGCCTTGGTTACAGACACAATTTAGGTTGACACTCGCATCCTTTGTATAATATTTTAAGTTACTTTTATTTATTAATAAAACGAAATTCTACGAGTGTTGGATAAATTTTTGTACGGCACTCGTGTGTTCACGATAATTCGTGACTTATATATACCGTAACACATTAGTACCATAAATAACTATTATTCCGATGTTCTATAGTTACCTTGTATTTAAAACAGTATTTGAATAAAAAAAGTTCTACTGTATTCTTTTAAACGACTGCTTTTAAAAAATATTTTAAATATTTCAGTTTTTTGAACAAAATAATATGTAATTGGGAAATGATTCAGTTTTCAAATATAAGATACTTTTATTTTTAGAAATTAGTCATTAAATGCCCTTATTCAATTTCCAAAATACAAGGAAATTATTTACTTAGATTTCCATGTTTTGTTTTATTGCGGTAACATATTTTGAAAATATTATGTTGCTTTAGGAAGGTTGAGCCATCGCTTGATTGGTGAAAATCTAGACAATTTTTTAAATGATAAATAATTTTTCATTTATAATTATGAGATGTCTCAGGTTTTAATCAGGGAAATTTAATAGGTAATAGCCCTCGCAAAAATATAAAGATAAATTGACATGAACTTGTATGTTTTAAAGCTTTGTTTTTGAGATATAAGAGTGCTAAAATTAATATCTTTTTTTTTCAATTATATCAAATGCTACTTGGCCAATCTTGATGCAACTGATGTTTTAATAACAAGTAAAGGGCTTAATAATTTAATTCAAATGGATTTAAAATTTAAATTAATTATTCCAGAGGAGATGCTGGGTGATCCTAACTACATAACTATTTTAAAGATAAATTTGAGCATACTACTGCTTTTTTATAAAGTCGATACTAACTTTTAGATTGAGTGATTAAAAATAGTTCTTTTGTTAATGTTAATAACTTTTCACATTTGTATTCTGGCTTCTAAACCTAATTTAATGGATTCACCACTTTCCGTTATTTTTACAAAACCCCTTTGACAAAGTACACAGGAAAACTCCAAAAATACAGACCAAAACTAAAATTTTGTAGATTTATTAACAAATGATGACTCGTGGTACAAAGGGAACATTAGTTTGTAGACAACTTGTTATTTTAACAATCTTACATAACATAAAGCCAGTTTTCGGTTTATGGTAGCCGTATCCAAGACAAAATAAACAAATAATAGAGAAGTGAAAAATAAAATATATTATCAAATATTATTTTAAAAGAAAATAATATAATAATCTCCATCTAAATGTATTATCAGTCATTTTTAAAGAAACGAGTAACGAGTAAGACAAAAGCAGTATTAACAATACATTTTTATTAAAATAGCTTTTATTTTTATAAACAATATAATATATTGGAATGGATTGTCTATATTATAATGAAAAATTCAAGTACCATTTACACCTTGATTAAAAATATACCTCCATAAAAAATAAACTAACAAATCACCCAATACATTTTTTAACATTAACATAATGATTGATAAAATTATACTTCATTTCTTTTTGCTTTTTTCTTGTTCTTGTCGCCTTTTGTTTGCTATGTAGATAGTCCAGAAAAATCCCACTAGATTGATTATCAAAACTCTAAGCTGCAAAATAATAATAGATTTTACCATTTTGTCAAATTTACTAAGGAAAAACATCACACAAATAAATCAACTTTCATTACCTATACATTTATTTAACTATTAAATATTTGTATACAGAAATATTCATCTAACATTTCACCTTTCACTTTTTTGCATTTATATCCAGGAAAAAAATTATAAAAACTAAAGTGTTAGGAAATTTTCATGTGATTTCAAAGCAATCTGTATAGAAACTATTGAATGTTGCATTTTAGAAATATAAACTAAATTTTCTTTATAAATAAAAGACCCCATATATTTTCAAATATTGATATAGACAGTTTCCTTAGGACCATAATGATATAAGCTTTAACTCGCCCATTTCTGATAAAAAAGTCGATATAGCCAGAATTTATTATAAGTTCAATGAGTTAGTGGGAAATTATTGTTAGTTTCTAGGTATCTAACTTGGTAATCTAGTCTTTGTCTATAACATGATGTTTATGTTTCACCTTAGAGTCAGGAGTCTCTCAATTGAGAGAGTAACACAAATTTGCCATTTTGGCTTTGAAAATTATGATTATGACATTTTCGTTAAAACTTACCTAAGTATTGTCCGCAATACAAGTTTTGAATTTGTTTCTAATTTACTGATTAGAATAAAGTAAGAAACTGCAATAGTTGCTACAATTTGTGCTTTTTATGAATTATACCGTGAAAATATAACAGTTCTGATAATAGATGTCATCCACCTACCACTATTTTAACTCTAAAGTTGCAACCAGGGAGACTACACAAGTAGAAGGAACTATATGTAAACACTAACTTTGCATGTAGCAAGAGTTGTCACATTTCGTTGGACATCATTTTTCAATTGTCTATTTGCATAGGCCTGCCTCATTGTGGAAACAATAATCTTTATAAATACTCAGATACTTTAGAATAAAAAAAATAATTGCAATTATCAAAAATATTTCAAAATATAGCAAGTACTTTTTTAAAGACAAGCTTGGCATACTTTTACAATTTAGTTTAGGCTTGGACTATGTCAATGTTATTAAGAGAACTAAATAAAGGAGGATGTTCTAGCACAACTTCACTATTTTAGCAATAACTTGAAAACGAAAAAAGATATCGATTTTTGGTTTGTATATTTGTTTTCCTTAATAAATGGTCGACCAAGTCATGAAAAAAAAAACATATTTAATTTTTTTAGTAAACGGAGACAATTACAAAACTTTTCTGATTAGCGTCGTCTACCATTGCGCACGAAAATAATATTTTTATTCCCATATAAATATAAATTTTATTAATAGTTTTTTTAAAATGAGCCATCATTTCTTGAAATCAATTAAGGAATTATTAGAAGTATGACAATTTAAAAATTTCAAGATGGCATCCTTTATACTGGCGTTGCTATTGTAATAACAAAAAAAAATTCAAACAAAACTTTTGAAGGGTCTAACAGTGTATCTAATAAGTGTATTTTCAACTTAGGTAATATAAGCGAAATTTAGAAAAAATGATAATTTTCGGTAACACTATAGCAGTGGCGCCCTCTAGTGGTGAAGTTACAAACTTGAAAAAATTTTAAATCAATTTCTTTTGGTTATATTTGTTGAGATTTTTTCCCCCATACTGTTAATGGATCACCCTGTAGTGAAGACACAAAAATTAAAATGGTAATATTTTGATAATGAAACATGTAATCCATATAATTTTTAGGGGATGATTTCTAAGTCCACACAGAATTTTCTTGACAAAAAAATTTCGAACGAAATTTATGAAATAAAAAATTAAAGTCGGGTTGGCTGGTCCCAAGATCTCAAAAAGGGTTGCACATATAGTACTTTCGATATTTGTTGAGATAGGATTCCAAGACACCTGTATCACATGGAAGAAAGATATTGGCGGTGTGGCGTTCTAGTTTAATTATGTATAATTTTTTTCTTCCTGACCAAATAATTTCTTGAATAATTATTAATTTTCTGGGAGAACAAGTAACATTAAATAATTCAATTAATAATTGTTCAATTTAATTATGTACTCTACTGTAATGTAAAAGAAATAAAAACCCATTTAAATCCAAAAAATCTGCTTTATATTTGTATATTTACCTTATACAGGCCGTTACAAATTCGCTTCTTACTACAGGGATCTCGGAAACAGTAAGAGATGTGGGGCAAAGTTGCGTAATCAAGGAACCAATATTATGCCTCTAAAAAATCAAGGCTAACATGATTAGTTTTCGAAATATTTGAAAAAAATGGAAATTTCGGAAATCCGTTTTTGTTTAATTGCAGCCTTGTTTAAGGTGATATTGAAAAAAGAAGAACATTTTTCTCATGCCTTCTATCGAATAACATAAACAATTTTTATATGTAACATTTCGTTTCTCCAGGACCATCATCAACTTCATTTTTTTAAATACGACCCTGGAAATTTTTTTACATTTTTTGCAAGCCTTCATGACCTCCAATACTGTACTGCCTCAGCCGGAACCAGATTCGGACGTTTTGTCTCAAAAAATTTATCTTCAGTGTATTCGTTAAAATTTATCTAAATTTTTTATTTAGATTTCTTTATTTATTGAATTATCGTACACTGTAAGTGTCGTTAGACCCTGGGAAATCCACCTAGTTATTTAAATTATTACCACCATGCATTAAAATAAAACTATTAGAGTTTTATTTCTGTGTCCATAGTTATTTCTAGGTTTCTCGAGTGCTCAAAATTCAAACAAATTTCAATCTAATTTTTTTCAGGATATTGATACAAATACATCTTCTCTTTCACAGTTGCAGTTACAGGCATAATAAATTCCGATCATATTATGCTTATCTTCATATTCAACATTTGCCAAAATGGAAACGTTTTTGAACATTTTCTGTAATTTTTTAAAGTATAATATTTATTTGTAGTTTTGTATAATATTTATTTGTAGTTTTGGTTGTTCATATGCATTTTTAATAATTAGTCATAATGAAATCAAAATTGTAGTAATGTTTTAATTTTGACGCAACACATCGAATTATCTATGACTAGGAATTCCAATAATGTTTTATTGTAACGTGTGATGGTAATAGTTCAAATAACTAGGTGGATTTTATAGGGTCTAACGACACTTAAGAATGTATGATAATTCAAGAAACAGAAATCTAAACAAAAATTGGATAAATTTGGAACAAATACACTGAAGATGAATTTTTATAGACAAAACGTTCAAGCCGAGGCAGTACAGTATTGGGAGTCATGAAGGCTTGTAAAAAATGTAATAAAATTTCCAGGGTCGTATTTAAAAAAATGAAGTTGATGATGGTCTTGGAGAGATGAAACGTTACATAAAAAATTGATTATGCCATTCGATAGAGGGCAATAAATTGCTATGAGAAAGTGTTCTTCTCTTTTCCGTATCACCTCAAACAAGGCTGAAATTGAACAAAAAACGGATTTCCAAAATCTGTTTTTTTCAAATATTTTGAAAACTATTCACGTTAGCCTTGATTTTTTAGAGGCATTTACATTATTTAACTTTATTAGCTTGTTCTTTTCTTGGAATTCTATCTCAACAAATTTTGTACCGACTGTACGTACATTTCCATTTCATTTTCACAACCGATTCTCATTTTTCAAGGTGCAGCATTATGAGATTTCAAAAATGGGATGTTTTATTTGATATTAACATTCAAATTTAAAATATCACAATGAAAATTCATTTTTTGCAAAGAAATAAAAAACCTGAATAGCCATTTAAATTTTTTAGTTCACAATTTCATTTGAAATTCAGGGCAATTCCCCTTTTGTGGGCCAAAAACGGTATGCATCCCATATTTAACTATCAAAATATGACCACTTTAATATTAGTAAGCCATCACTGGTGTGTAGATTTTTGTTGGTATATAATGTAAATGTATGCACAAGCCTTTAAGAAAACTTAAAACACGCTGCTACGTACAACTTGATGTATAATAAATAATAATTTCTAATTACCATAGGAGGTACGACACTAAGATTAAGCAACTGTATGACTGTCAAATATTTCCAGCTACTTGTAAGGACGGTCCAATAAAGAGACTGCAATTGTTTTACAGCCGTTTTGTGGTCTTTTCCTTCCAGTCTTGCTATAACATATAGAGTAAATGCTTGATACAGAGGTGAATATATAAGCCTTTCAAAAAATAATTTTTTCGCTATCACAAATGATGCCTCTTCGGGAATGGCACTCTCTAAGAAATTATAAAAATAATGGGGTATAGTCCCACCAAATAGTAAACTAAAACAAATTTTCATTTAAAAAAATTGCTACTGTAGTTATTATTAAGCAATTACCCAAATACTCCGTAGGCCAATAAACTTTGATAATCAAGGACTTTACTTCCTGCTATCCTTTGAGAAGCATAATTTCCAGCCGTTGCTATAACGCAGCTATAAATAGAAGTTATCAGTTCGAGTTTTCTGTTCCAGTTATAAACTTACCAGCTGATAGCTTTTGTCCTAAGTGGATGTTCATATAATTGCCCAAAATAAAAACTTAGGGCGTTTATCAAAGGTTTCGATAGGACCATTTTTGTTACTTACAGTGTCAAATTTAAGTCTATATTAAGTATTTATTAAATGTGGCAAATAAACTAATCAGAGTTGAAAGTCCAAAAAAATATATACCCACCGCTGCCGAGTTTCTCTATCATTTAAGTGTTAAATTACGTATTTGGATATTATTGTGTTAGACAATATTTTTAATTTTTCTAGGTAATACTGCGAAATAAGATACAAATATATTTAAACCTTATTCAAACTTGTAAATGTAAATAACAGACAAATAAGATGATACCACTCTCTTCTATTATCTATGGATACCATTGAACACCACTGACACAACATAGCCATAGATATAGGATACAAAACATAGATAAGATATACCTTGGGGTCTTTCGTTTTGACAAAAATAGTACCTATTAGCAACTAATATCAGTTCAGAGCAACTCTAAGTTGCTATTAGCTACTAATAGCTACTATTTTTGCCAAATCGAAGGGCTCTCTTGTAAGAAATAGATTACAACTCAATTAAATAATTAAAATCACAAGATATACATATATCTAGTGTTCTAGTGACTTTAGAAATAATGTATTAAATACGCCATCAGTGTTTGCAGTACGAAACACTTTCAAGGTCAATTATTGTATATACGAGGAGTATAACATAAGTTCATTGGGCATAAAGGGCATACGATAACTTCTCGATATATTTATAAGGTACTTCATATTCACAAACACTGACCAAAAATGACATTCTCGTGCGAGCGGTCGAACTGAGCGGACGTGTTTATTGTGAAGTAAAGTGCATAGCAACGAGCAAGATCTACCTGCCTTTATCAAGGCTACCTGGAAAGAATCCCATTCTTTCCTCTTAACCACCGACTTAATCCCCGGCTTAAGCATAGAGGCCGTCGGCATCTTTGTTACAGGTATCTGTGCCGGGGTTATGCCCAGGTAAGTTTTTACTTTATTTATCAGTTATTTGCATAATTTTTTAATACATTTCTTTAAAATTGCGACCCCCGACAGACCATATACCAGACAGACTAATATACCAATAGACACGTACGCCCCCGTAAGGGGGCATCGCCACACGACTAAAACCTACACACCCTCACACACACACACACACCACACACACATGCACAGAGAAACGCAAAAAACACACAGCGGAATCCTCTAGCGAGGACGAAGCCCCCAGACATAAAAAATCAGACAAAACAAACAAAACACGACCACAAACACCAAACACGCGCCCCCCGACACCTACACCCTCCACAAGCGCCCTACAAAATACCCCACAAAACACACAAAAACAGACAGACAAAACCAAACAAGTCCCCCCGGTAATCTTGCGAAAGCAAGAACGGTGGACGCAAGTACAAAAAATACTCACGACACTTAACATTAACTATACAAAAGCCAAATTGACTAAAGACGGTATAGCCATATACCCAAACACACCTAATGACCACAGACTATTGACAAAGACACTGACAGACAAAGGCGAGGAGTACCACACCTTCACCCTCAGCGAAGAAAAAACGCTGAGGGTGGTGATACGCGGAATACCTGCGGGTGTTTCGCCAAGTGAGGTCCAACTCGACCTCGCAAGACAAGGGTTCCCCGGCGCAATAGTGCACCGCATGGCGAGCCGTCAAAATAAACAGGAAATGCCCCTGGTCCTAGTTCAGGCCCCACAGGACCAGGAGGACATCCTGAAGGTAACCCGCTGCTGCTCGCTCGTGGTTCGAGTAGAGCTGCAGCGAAAGCAGCGGGTTGCCACACAGTGCCACCGGTGCCAGCGGTTCGGCCACGGCCAGACCCGGTGCACAGCTGAGCCAAAGTGCGTAAAATGTGGCGAAAACCACAGCACGCACGTATGCAAAAAGGCCAAAGACACGCCCGCCAGGTGTGCAAATTGCGCCGGGCCACACCCCGCCAGCTATATGGGGTGCCCTCAGTACCCCAAAGCTAAAAACACAAAAACACAAAACACAGACACACACACGACACAAAACACTACACAAACACACAGACAGCCCCTCCTACCCACCCCAAACACAACCCCAGGACGCACATACGCTGACATGACCAGAAAAACACAAAACACACAAAAACAAAAACACAACACCTCACCACACGCACACACAGACACGACACCCTCCCAACCGGGCGCGGCGGCCCTGATTGACGCAACAAAGCGTCTTCAGGACTTCTGCGTCCAGCTGACGACCATGGTGTCGAATATGCAAAAATTATTCGACTTCTAATGGCTCGTCGGCCCTCCCAACCCTCCTCGCTGAGAATTTCGTCCTGGAACCTTGACGGGTTCCGGGCCAAAAAAACGGAACTCGTGGACATCTTGAACCGTCTAAACATAGACGTTATGGCTGTCCAGGAGACCTACCTCAGCGAGGCATCCCGTACCTCCATCCCTGACTATGACATATACAGACATGACAGAAACCGTAACGGGGGTGGTGTTGCACTCATAGTAAAGAAGTGCATCGACCACTATCCGCTGCAGCGGCTCCAAACTCAAAACACAGAGGCCGTGGCGATAGCGGTGAGATCGCTACGGCATGGAGACGTTGCGGTGGTGTCCTGTTACCACCCACCCAGACTACCACTACTTGACAATGACTTAGACAAAATCCTTTCCTGGCCCCAGACAATTGCCATCGGGGACTTCAACGCGAAGTCCCCCATATGGCACAGCGGGACGACGACCACAAGAGGTCGCGTCCTGCTGAATTACCAAGACAGACACGACGACTTGACTATACTCGGACCGACAGAACCGACACATTACGGACCCGTAGGACGCCCCGACGTTATCGACATTGCCCTCTTAAAATCTATACCGTTAAATGCCCAAATATCCACCCAATACGAAGGGTCTTCCGCCCACAATCCAATATTTCTGGATCTGGGGCGAAGACAGAGATATGAAGGCACCTTCACGAGGAGGTTCACTGACTGGGAGCGTTTCCGAACAGTAATGCAAGGAAACATGGCGCTCCCAGTCATCGAAACCACCCATGATCTGGAGGCGGCAATCCTCTCCCTTGAGACTGACATTAAAAACGCCCTGACTCAGACTACGACGGAGACTATTGTCCCCCGACTGACAAACCCCCGGGGCACCCTCCCCGATGACATAAAAAACTTAATACGTGACAGACGACGTGCGAAACGGCTTGCCACCCGCACCCGCCTCCCCCGACACAGACATGACTTAAACGTACTTAACAGACGGGTGAAGGCGGCTCTGGATGAACTGGCCCAGGATAACTGGGCTAGGCACCTGGAGTCGCTGGATCCACAAGACAACAGCCTCTGGAAAACGCAGAGGGCCCTGCGACAGACCGCTCGCCGTAAAATTCCTCCAATCCACGGTAGTGTGGGGGTGGTTTACACGAACCAGGAAAAGGCCGAGGCTTTCGCCGATAGCCTGGAACTGCAGTGTAGACTGCCTCAGCTGCCCGACGAAGACGAGGAATTCGAGATAGTGGCTGAGCGCGCGGCCCGACGCGTCGACAGAGAGCCAGACAATGACATAATCCCCCCCGCAACACCTGACGAACTAAGACTGACAATACGCAGACTTAAAAACAGAAAAGCCCCCGGACCCGACAATATACATAACACGACACTTAAACGACTACCACACAAGGGCCTCATGGCCCTACTAAACATAACAAACGCGACACTCAGACTAAGACACTTCCCTACCCGCTGGAAAACAGCAAACATAATCCTTATCCCAAAACCCAACAAAGATCACACCATCCCATCCAACTACCGGCCCATTAGCCTGCTCCCGGCTATGAGCAAAGTGGTAGAAAAAATTATCCTAACCCGTCTAAGAACCCACTCCCAAGAACTGCAAGTCATTCCAGACGAGCAGTTCGCCTTCCGACCCAATCACTCCACTGAACTCCAAATCCTTCGCCTTACCGAGCACATCACGGCGGCCTTCAACAGGGGACAGTACACTGGTGCTGTCTTCCTGGACGTCGCAAAGGCCTTCGATACGGTTTGGCATGAAGGCCTACTGATGAAAATGCTCACCAACCAATATCCCATATCCTTTACCAAACTCATAAAATCCTACCTACACCACCGAAAATTCCGCATCCAAATCCAAGATTCCCTTTCCACCACCCGTCCCATGGAGGCCGGTGTCCCCCAGGGCACCGTCCTGTCCCCACACCTATACACCATTTACAACTCCGACATCCCACATCCCCCCAACACCAACATATACTTATACGCCGACGACCTGACAATCACATCCCAATCCGTAGATCCTAGATATTCCGTCTACCTCCTCCAAAGCTCCTTAGACCAACTTGAAACCTGGTGCAACAGGTGGAAAGTCAAAATTAATCCCAACAAAAGTTCGGCTATCCTTTTTACCAAACGAAAAATCCCACAAAACCTTGACAGACTGACACTATCCCAGGAACCCATCTCCTGGAATCGACAAACACGATACCTGGGCGTGACGATGGACCAGCGTCTCACGTGGAAACCGCACATCGTGGAGACGGTGGCGCGAGCGAAGACCACCAGGGCTAGGCTCTATCCCTTACTCAAAGGTGGAAACACCCTCAGTTTAAGGAATAAGCGAACGCTTATCAAGGTGGTACTTCAACCGCAGCTAACCTACGCCTCCACGGCGTGGGGTCACGCGGCAAAAAGCCACTTAAAGTCATTACAGGCTGTGGAAAACATAGCCCTCCGCACGGCCACCGACGCGCCCTGGTACGTAAGAAACACTGACATATTACGAGACTTACAATACACAAACGCTACACAGACAATAAGACAAAACGCGGAGAAACGATTTGACGTAGCCGCTAGACATGACAATCCCCTCCTCAGGCAAGCCGTTGACTACGTACCCGACGTGACCGACAAACACAAAAGACCTAGACACCAACTTTTTGACCCTGGGTGACCACCCCAATGACCCCCCCCCTGCCCGCTAACCTTTTCTGTTTCAGAGACAGCCAGGATCAAGAAACGAAGACAACGACACACACACACACACACACACACACCCCCCATACCCTCCTTAACCCTCCCCTCCCGCGCTAGCCTAAGGGCCACCTTAGCAAAGCGCATCCCAGGCTGCATAGCCGCACTACCCTACCCAACCATACCACACATAAACATGACACTACCCCCGGGGTTTACACAGACGAGCCGGCGAAGCAAGAAGAGCGCCAGAAGAAAGGGCCCTAGCCGGCGGGGCCCAGCCAGGACAAAAGGAGGTCCCACAAAGCGCCTACACCGGCCGCATTTGCGGTCGGGGTAGACGACGGATGGGGCCCACCTACGAAGGCTGTCCAGGCCTACACGAGATGAGGCAGGATAAAGAGGGATAATCCCCTTCGATCCCAAATCATTGAGGCCAATTTCTAGCCATAGAATAATGGCGCGGCTCTGCTACCTGTGTATATACTAATTATAACGAATGAACGAACGAAATAAGCCGTGCGGAGGGCTATGTTTTCCACAGCCTGTAGTGACTTTAAGTGGCTTTTTGCCGCGTGACTCCACGCCGTGTAGGCGTAGGTTAGCTGCGGTTGAAGTACCACCACGATAAGCGTTCGATTATTCCTTAAACTGAGGGTGTTTCCACCTTTCAGTAAGGGATAGAGCCTAGCCCTGGTGGTCTTCGCTCGCGCCACCGTCTCCACGATGTGCGGTTTCCACGTGAGACGCTGGTCCATCGTCACGCCCAGGTATCGTGTTTGTCGATTCCAGGAGATGGGTTCCTGGGATAGTGTCAGTCTGTCGAGGTTTTATGAGATTTTTCGTTTAGTAAAAAGGATAGCCGAACTTTTGTTGGGATTAATTTTGACTTTCCACCTATTGCACCAGGTTTCAAGTTGGTCTAAGAAGTTTTGGAAGAGGGTGGCGGAATATCTAGGATCTACGGATTGGGATGTGATTGTCAGATCGTCGGCGTATAAGTATATGTTGGTGTTGGGAGGATGTGGGATGTCGGAGTTGTAAATGATGTGTAGGTGTAGGGACAGGACGGTGCCCTGGGGGACACCGGCCTCCATGGGTCGGGTGGAGTAATTTTAACCGATCGAGTTTACGATATGAGGAAAGTAAATGGAGAAATACATAAAGATGGCATTATAAAAACTATTTGGAATATTATAGCTTAAACAATTTAAATATATTGTACTGTACAGTACAATATATTTAAATTGTTTTAGCTATAATATTAATTAGGACAGTAATATAGTAAACCCCTTTACATACCTACACTACTGGAAAAAATGATTTTTTTTTTGTATTTTAGTCTCTATAAAGTATTTAGTCTTTATAAAGTCTTTGAATACGGCCCAACAGAAAAAAGAGGTAAGGAATCGAGTATAGCTAGCTGATTGGTTAAATTGAATGTAGCGCGCTGCAGCCGAAATTCTGTGAACAAAGCTTAAGCCCTTACTAGCTGTATTTGTTTTACATACTTAGCGTCACTTAGTCACTTTGGTTAATTCACTTTCAGTAGAGTTCTGACCAAGTTCGTTTTTCTTAAACAAGCGAACAAACCAAAATATGACCAAAATCAGTTCTCCCTTTTCCAATCTAACCTAGCCTAATATTGTGTAAGTGAACAAGATATCCGAACAAAACATAACCTACAAATAATAATAATCATAAATCTAAATAATAATAATAAGCCGTTGATAATGGATAAGGATTCATCCGAAGAAGATATGTTGATTGTAAGTATGTTGAGCACAGTATGATTTGCAACAATAACCTAATTAAACTGAACAGCCAAAAGTCAAAATTTAAAATGGAGTAGATGTAAGTTAGTTCAAATCACGGTCACTTCTAATTTGGTCAATTTAATCATTCTGAACTAACCAAGTGGTAAAACAAAAGCTGAATTTGTTTTACACACTTGGTCACTTTGGTTAATTCATTTTCAGTACAGTTCTGACCAAGTTTGTTTTTTTTTAAACAAGTGAACAAACCAAAATATGACCAAAATCAATTCCCCCCTTTCCGATCTAACCGAGCCTAATATCGTGGTTAGTAAGTGAACAAGATAACCGAACAAAACATAACCTACAAATAATTATAATCATAAATCTAAATAACAAAAATAAGCCGTTGATAATGGATATGGATTCATCCGAAGAAGATGTGTTGATTGTAAGTATGTTGGGCACAGTATGATTGACAACCTAATTAAACTGAAATTGAACAAACGTCAAATGACAATAGTAGATGTATGTTTTGTTTAACCTAGAGTTTGTTCATATCACGGTCACTTCTAATTTGGTCAACTTGACCAAACTGAACTAACCAAGTGGTAAAACAAATACAGCTAAATACAGCTATTAGCTGCATCTCTCTCGCACACGTCTGAGCGATTGTCGTTTACATGGAGACTAGATAGTTTACATGGAGACTGTATAGTCTCCATGGCCGTTTATATAGACAAAATGACAGTTGGGCGAACCCAGTAGTTTATAAGGTCTATGATGGCTTGACCTAACATAACCTAAGTTATTAGTTTATTTTTTTTTACAAATAAGGATCTACGGCACAGAGTACATACAATATTCTCGTTGTCTACGGGAAGATTCGAAGTAAAGTGAATTTGTTCTCACTAGATGTTATTCTGCAAAAATCAGCTCTAATTTTATATTTTATCAAACTATCGGTGCAATGGGAAGTTCTCGTGATTTCCAAAATTGTTATGTTTCGACAAATTCAAATCAAATTCCAAATGCAATCCATTGGGGTAAAAACAATCTCATATGTTATGGATCATGCAATGCAGTTTTAATTTATGATCCAAATGTAAGTTGTAACCTTAGATTCTTAGATTTTCATTCTTTTAATTAAGATTGTTGATTTTCAAATTTTTAGGTTGGAGGAGGAGGAAATATCACACATACCTTAGTAGGTCACTCAAAGAGGGTTAACTCTGTGAAATGGCTTAGTGATAAATGTAACATATATGAGACAGAATTAATATCGGGTTCAACAGATTCATTAGTAATTATTTGGACATTAAACAACGGATTTTATGAGCCAGTAATGTTAAAGGGTCATGAGTCCAATGTAAATATAGTAGATGGGCTCTACAAAGAAAATAACAGAAATGGTGCTGTAATAGTCAGTGCCTCTATGGATTGCACTGTAAAAGTTTGGCATCGCCCAAAAATTGAAGGTTTGAAGGATTGGTACTGATAAACATAAAACGAATTTAATTTTCTGTTTTAGATAGTTTTGAGATAAGCCAGAATATAAATTTTGGTTACAGTATTACTGTAGGCTTAAAAGTATCATATTTTCCTAGCGACAATAAGTTAATATTGGCTTGTGCTCTTGACACATCAAAAATACATATATACATTCAGAATGAAAGTGTAGAATCTGAAAGCAAATTTCAGTGTAATGCACAATTAAGTGGACATGAAGACTGGGTCAGAGGTTTGGATTTTACATCAGATGGTAAGGAAAAAAGAAAATTATCTATAAAACAAATTATGTAAAAAATTGTAGGTGCTGATTTGTTATTGGCTTCTTCTTCTCAAGACTGTTTTATACGATTGTGGAGATTTACAGAAAAAGATTTGATTGGTGATGGTTTATCTAAAATCGAAAATGAAAAAACCCAGCTTAGAGCGGGTGATCAGAAATACAATATTTATGTAGAATCAATATTGACAGGTCATGAAGGATGGATATATTCAGTAAATTGGAGCCCAACATCTTTACAATTACTATCTGCATCCATCGATAAGTCAATGATAATTTGGGAATTTGATAAAAATTCAGGACTATGGCTTGAAAAAATTAGGCTAGGAGAAGTGGGAGGTAACACACTGGGATTTTATGGTGGAATATTTGGACCAGACGGTAAAAGGGTTTTAGCACACAGTTACCATGGGGCTTTTCATATTTGGACATATTGTGAAAAGTTAGGAATATGGGATCCTTCAGTTACGATAGGAGGTCACTTTTCTGAGGTAGTGGATTGTGCTTGGGATCCTAAAGGAGAATTTTTATTTAGCACGTCTGCTGATCAGACCACTAGAATACATGCTCCTTGGCCAAATAACAAGAAACCAGTAAGTCTGTGATAAATAAGATCGTATTCAATATTTTATCATAACTATTTTGAAAATAACAGTTTATAAAGTATTTAATTTTCGGTCATTTTGTGCCAAAAAAGGTTGGGCATAAGAAGTATTTTTCTAGCAATTGTTAAGACAATGGAGTTATTTGCATAGAATGTAGTGTCTATGAAAACGTATTTACCCCCTAGTATTTTTGCTTTTCCTCCATGGTACTTATTTCATTTTTTAAGCATGTCTTTCACAAAACAAGCAACACAAATGCAACAGAATTATAGTTTCCGAAGTTTCAGAGGTACGTAGACCTACGACTTTGCATATGGTAGTAGAGTGACATATTTAAATATGTAAATAAAGGTAATTTTTCTTCATACTGTTAAATATTTGTTACTATGACTCTTAAGACTTTGGAAATTTTTTTACTTAGAATCAGACTAGTTTTAGCCATGTCTGTATGAAAGTAAGCATTTCTGCACAAACAGCTATGGCGCCAAATCCAATAATGAGGTTAGTTCAATTTATGTGGCCTTCTTTCACAAAACACCTTAGGGTAGTTTTAGATAGCTATTTTCTAGTACATTCGACATATACATAATTATAAGAGAAAAAGCAGCGAAGAAAAATACTTCCTGAAAATAGGAGGTGTAATAAAAAACTAACATGAATTGTTAATTTTTTCAGAAAGTATTTAATCTTCAATTTTTATCCCATCCCCTTCAAAGTAGTTACACTGTCATATTATACACATGCCAATATAGTTTCCAGTTTGATAAACACTGGTGGAACGCCTCTGTAGGTATAGTCTTGAACATGGTTTGCAATTTTGCTTTTATCTCATCCATCGTTAAAAAACATTGTCCTTTGAGTATTTTTTTGTATTTGGGAAATAGGAAAAGGTTACAGGGGTCATGTCCAGAGAACAAGGCGGTTGCGCCATTACAACGGTGTTGTGTTTTACCAAGAACTGCAAAGCATAAGCAAAGCAGTATGCGCCTGTGAGTTGTTGTGGTGGAAAATCCATGAGTTGTCTCTCATATTCTTGTCGTTTTCTCCTGATTGTCTCAACAAGTTGCACCAGAACTTGTAAGTAGTACTCTTGGTTAACTGTACGATCGGGCAGTAAAAATTCTTGATGAACTATTTATTCCACTGTAATTTAAGATAAGTTAATGTATAATTTTTTTTTTTTAACAAGCTTTTAGTGATATTTTATTTTCCTATTCTTCTCAACCAACTCTTTCATTTGATGGCCATATCATGAGGGTGCCTAACAAATAACTGGTCCGCCATTTTTGGGAGTTCGCCATATTGGATTTAGAATGACGTCACTTAGTTAACCATGCATTGTCATCCAAACTAAACGTTCATGCAAAATTCAGCTCAATAACTGGATAATTGTTTTAAAATTCACTTGCAAGTTTTGACCCATACTAACAAGGCAAGTTAAATAAAAGCTTGTAATAAAAACGAATACATTTCAACAGGTCTTGCCTCATTTTCGCCGTCATCTTGCCCTTTCAGAAAACATTTGTACCATTGACAGACATACCAATTTGAAATGGCGCCTAGAGTAAACCTCAAAGTTGCACCCCTTCGTAAATTATCTAAATATAAAATAAACAGATACAACTAAATAAAACAGTCATAAATTTTAAAAAATATATTTTTATTTTCAGTCTTAGTAGTATGGTTCAAATAGTTCGACCAACGGTCATATAGATAATATTAGGTGTTTCATGCACATTACTCACTTTGAGCCATTTGAGTTACTTTAAGTTGGTTGAATGTAGCTCATATTAGACCTAGGTATATTTGACTGGGTGGAATAGATAAGTTGAGATTCACATCCCTCCTGACAAAGTGTATAGCGTTCAAGAAGTGATGGTCACTCTTGTAAAAGTTACATCACTAGTTTATATAAAATTGGGAATTATATAGAAAAATTGATTGGTATTGATGTATCAAATGTATAAAGTTGTACTTTATGTCTTGACAATAAATGCGTCTTATGAAATAGTATTAAATCGTATAATAATTCTATATAAAAATAATTCAATATAAAAATTAGTAGTACCTAATAATAAGAATACAGTATTGCCCATATACTAGTATCTGTTCCCACGTTATTTGCTCAGCTGGAACCTGTTTTTAGGAATCATTATTAATTCTTGTTAATAACAGATTGTGCAATAGCTTGTGTGGAAAAATAAAAAAACTTTAATAAAGGTCTATCCTGAAAATAGCAGCCACTCGGATAAGAATTAGACTGTAAAGCAGTGGTTGTTAACCTGTGGTTCGCGGACCCCTGGTGGTCCACTATCTCCTCCCAAGAGGTGTGTGAAGTTTTTAGGAACATTTAGTCACCAATAACAACTAATTAAGCAAATGCGCTCTCTTATGTCAGAGTGTAACTTATTATTTATCTTTCCAAAATTTACGTTTAGTATGCAATTTAAAATTAATATTTCAAACCCATTTAAATTGGAACTTATATCTAAAAGTAACTGGGGACCCGCAACGACAAAAATATATTGAAAGAAGGTCCGTGGTAAACAAAAGCATCAGAACCACTGCTGTAGACTACACATTACATAAAAATTATTAAAACTAATTTATATTTTGATTAAAAATTGTTAATTGCTCCACGATTTGACAGTATTATTTACTAGTTTAATTTATAGGGATATATAATAGTGTAACAGTATTATACCCCTTGTACAAAATATAAATTTGCAAAATATATTTTATATTTTCAACCCTGCTCACCCTGTTGAACTTGAAAGAAAATTCGCAATTTCTTTTTCATTGAAATTGGATCAGTGATGGGTTAAATGTTATTTGATTTGATTTTCTACCAGGTTATTCAATTTACCAATATTTACTTTCGGAGCCAGAAGCAGTGCACCTTTATGTCACAAAAAAATGTAAGAAAAAAATATAAGTACTGTACATATTAAAATTTACCTTCCCAACGAAGGTACCTAACATTTAAAAACCGTTAAGAGGCGGCTTTTATAATGCATCTAACTGTTACTAACTGGGATGGTGTTGTCAAACAGCAAAAAAGCCAATGACACACACATTTTGTTTTTCTCCAAATTATTTAAGTGCCAGCCTCTATGTATGTCTATTCTTGGTAAAGCGTTTACACCTCTTTAATACTAAAGTATGGATTATTTAAAATGTTCCTTTCAGAAATATTTTGAGAAAAATTGTAAAATAAACACTGCAAGAACAAACTTATTCTGTTTATATGAAATTTTAGATTTTTGGATGAGAAATTTTCCTATGAATAAATCACATCCATTTTAAATCGCCCTGTTTACTAATTTCTCTATCATTTATAAATTCGATTCCTGTAAATATTTTTAGGTCACATGGCATGAAATAGCCAGACCTCAAGTTCATGGATACGACATAAATTGTTTGGCAGTCATATCGAGATACAAGTTTGCTTCAGGTGCTGAAGAGAAAGTCATAAGAACTTTTGAGGCACCTAGAAATTTTGTGGATAATTTTAGAAGAATTTGCCAGGTATCGGATGATGATGAAGGAGATACTATCAGTTGTTGTAGGTATAGGTCAATATGAAAATTTTGAGATGCTCTAAAATTATTTTGATTACTACACTTTTCTTAATCTTCCTAGAATTTCATATATTTCTGCATTCTTGTAAACTATTTTGAAAGCAATTTTACATTTATTTTCTTCAATTACTTCTTCAGGGCTAAAACATTACACAAATAATTTTTTTGCGATGGGGAAAAATTGTATCGTTTAACTTCTGTGAACTTTTTGGATCTGTGGCAGATACGTTGTGGTGATGGAGATCCTGTCTTTAGCCGTCTTTGTACGCGGGAGCCAATCAATGGCTCCATCTGTCATGCAGACTCCCAACTGTGCCATTCAAACGGCTACAGTAGGAAGCGACCTGCTATATTGCAGGTACTTTGTTGCACGACTGCTACCCACAGAGGGTGTAACACAATGTTTTAGTCGTCAGTGCCGTGAGAAACAACTACTCCGAGGGCTATTTGCCCCTACCGGCATTGAATTATACTTGCGACACCTAGTACAACAGCTAGGATCATCTGTCAGTTTAACCCACCAGGCACAGACCGGTTTCGGACTTATTAGTCCTCATCAGTGTGTCATAGGTGGGACAACTGACAAACGACCCAGCTGTTTCTTCGTCGTATCATCACAAAGAGGAAGTACATTGTACGTGGGAGCCAGTCAATGGCCGTCTTTGTTAAAGCTTTTTGAAAATTTTTTAAAAACGTTTGTGGACATCAGTCTACTTGTAAAAAGTGGGGCGTGTCTTGATTTAGTTTACTTTAATCAGCTTTAATCTTTTAAAATCTCAAAATTTTTATAGCAACCCTTTTATATAGTTATTTTTAAGACTTATTTTTTAAATATTATGCATGTCATGATGATATATTATAGCCAATCAGTTTGGACCCAAAGGAGCGTCGGTACCTTCACTGGGATTGTCAAATAAGGCAGTCTACAACGATGACAACCTAGAACAAGCCATTTCTGTTGACAAAAGAAATCCTTATCCAGAAGAATCACATTTTGTTGCAACAGATTTCACAGGTAAAATATATGAAGTATACCAGGTTAGAACTATTTAACGGGAACCTATTATATTCCGAAATCATAAAATATTAGTAATACAAGGTGGCTCAAAAAAACTATAAAAGCAGTTTTTTGTTATACACAGTGATAATTGATTAAATTCGTTTTTTTTAAACATGGCACTATTAATAATTGTTATGTAATGTGATAAACCAATTTTTTTTGTTAACTAAAATGCCTCCTATTTTAGTTTTTCATATGGTTGAATAAGGAATCAAATTATAATGTTACACCTTCATGAAATTGCAGGTTCAAAGTTAAATTAAATTATTAAATATTAAATTTGGATCTTTTTCTTCATTTAATCTTATGAATAAAACAGTATTGCATTTATGAGTTAATTTCCATTGAACTGCTTGAGTGTGACTTAGCTTTCACTCTCCAAGTAATTACAATTGACTTCATGTATAAGGTGGGCCAAGGCTGCAGTTTTTGTAATTTGTTTTTATAATTTGAGTCACTGTGCCTGTAACACTATATCCCTGTAGTTACATATGGATGCTCTGAACTTGTCTTTTTTTAATTGTAACAGTTGAAAAGACAGAGAGAGATACATCTAGAGCATTTAGATGTTAAGACTGAATGCTACTTCTGTGCTGTTAGGAATTTTAACCTAATATATACTTCACTTTGAGGTTAAATTTGTCGACTCAAAAATAAGACAAAAATTTCATATAAACATGGATCCGCAAATCCCCCCTACGGGAGGTAGACGCATTTGAAGATGACTTTAAATAAATCGGTTTTTGCCAATAACTTTTAACTTTGAAGGAGAGGGATAAGTTTTGGATAATAAGTTGGGTGCTACTAAGAAACATGATTATTTGGGGGTATTAGTTGATCCGGGTTATAACCCATGGCATCAAAAAATTAATTTATTTCTGGATATTTTTATACAACCTAATAATTCTTTGCACTTTAGTAGTAACTTATCCCTCTCCTTCAAAGCAGTGATTTGAGTCGATAAATCTACCCTCAAAGTGAAGTACCACTATTTCCGAACATATTGTATACTAAAATAAAACTTCTAATTCAGATTATGTTAGCTGCTTAGCAAAATATTTTAGGAGTTAAATTCCAACCAAAATTTTGTCTGTTTTCAGAACCTCCCACTGAGGAAACTCTTTTGCAAAATACACTATGGCCAGAAATTCAAAAATTGTATGGACATGGATATGAAGTATATTCTTTAGCTGCATCACCTGATGGTAAATACTTGGCATCTGCCTGCAAGTCTACAAAGCCAGAACACTCAGCAATATTACTTTGGTGAGGAAAATTTGAATAGTTTTATCCATGCCACATTTTTTTTTTTTTTGACGGTCCATTATAGTAACTTGTAGGTTTAGTGAGTACCTCCATGATCTTCTTTCTAATTACACTATGCAGCTTTGACAGTGGCTCCTTGACATAGCTTCCAGCCTTCGGTTTTTCTTTTCTTATTTACACGTTCATACATGCAAACCAGACCGATATTATTCAGATGTTTCCTGAAACTGCAATGTCCAGTCGGCAGTCTTATTGTTATCTTTATTGATATTGAAACTTACATTTCAGTTCAGTGTTCAGTATGTCTACTGTTAACTTATTCAATGGTTCCTTTATAAACCACTTGGCTTATTTCTGCCCAGAAATTATTTGCCACCCTTTTTGGCGCTTACCCTTCAATCATTCCTGCATGAGTTCTTAATAATGTGGCTAGCAATGCTGCAAAAAGATTAGAGCTCCTGTATGATTATAAATGAGCCTATTGTGGCTAAGTCATCAACCTTCTTATTGCCTCAATGGTCCTATTGTCTGGTACCCAAGCTAGAGTCGCATTGTTTTCACTTCTTAGCCTTACTAAAACATACAAGCAACTCTATATCAGCTTAGATTTGTTTTTTTTATGTTCCTCCTACCCTGACCCTATTTTATGTTGGTGTGGTTGGTGGTGCACAGTAACCAATGGTGACAATTTCTGCCTGGAAGGCTATGATGTGTTCCTAGACGAAGGGGACTTCAAATCATTCCCTAACTCCATAAATCACAGTTTCGACTCCTGTTGCGAGTATAATTCAATGTCGGTCGGGGCATATAGCCCACGGAGTAGATGTTTCTCGCAACACTGGCAATTAAAAACATTGTTTTGCCCTCTGTGGGCGGCAGTCGTGTAACAAAGTACCTGGCAATATAGCAGGTCGTTTCCTACTGTAGCCATTTGAATAGCACAGTTGGGAGTCTGCATGACAGATGGAGCCATTTGCGCTCCGCATACAAAGCTACTGACAAGTTTTGACGCGTAAACATGAATATGTACGTACTATATGTAGATATAAAAATAAACCGTTTAGCTTTTGGTAAACCGAAGGACAAGATTTACGTAACGACCTACGTAATTACAAGTTTCTCTTGAAACATTTTCACTGTTTCACCCCATCTTCTGGCCCTGATCAGATTGTTATAGAAATGGTTTGTGTAATTATAGTATTTAATATATAGGTACATACTTTTTAATGTATTATTATTAGCTTTCATATTGTTTACTTATTAGTTATTTCTTGCAGTATCATCAGTCAAGGAGGTTAGATATCTTTTGCATACTTCTAGATATTTTGTTATCAAAGAATATTGTTTGACTATGTTTGATTATAGTATTAGGAATTTATTTGAATTAGCTTAATGTATTAAATTTTATTAATTCCAGGGATACTTCTAACTGGCAGCAAATTCAAAAACTTATGTCTCACACTCTAACCATTGTCCAAATGCAGTTCTCGCCAGACTCCCAGCATTTACTTTCGGTTTCACGAGACAGGCGTTGGTCCCTATTCAGAAGAAATGAAACAGACTTGTTTGAGCTGGTAGCAACAACAGACAAAAACACTGGAATACATTCTAGGATAATTTGGACGTGTTCATGGTCCCACGATTCTAAATATTTTGCAACTGGTTCCAGAGATGGAAAAGTTGTTGTTTGGACTATAAACAAGGGCAAACAAAAAACCAATATTTTGGGAGAGTGTGAAGTGGCTTCCAAACCTCTAGAATTGAAAAATGAATCTGTAACTGCCCTGGCCTTTGTACCGGGGTTGGTGTCAACATCTTATCTTGTTGCAGTTGGTTTGGAGTCTGGAGTTGTACGATTGTATAAATGGAGTCCAGAGGAGTGGAAGGAAGTTTTAGTGTTATCCCAAAGGTAAACTTAACTTTATTTGAAATTATTTATGTGTAGCATAATGTCTATTTTTTTCTCTACTTATTTAAATATCTTCCAATTTGATGTAAAAATTATCTTTTAATTGTAACCATAGGATTCACATTTTGGATGGGTCAGTTGATATTTTTAATATTTTTTTTATCTTCGACTTTTTGGTATTCTTTAAATTAAAATAGAAAACTTCAGAGTATTCTGGATTAAAGAGCTACTCTTGTCGTGAGTGGCTAGGGTGTACCATATGCAAGAAAAATCTCTTTAAAATGTTTGTGTTTTTTTTTGCATGGATATTACAAAATAACAAATTCTTTGCTAATATTTAGTAGTTGGTTTTGGAAAAGAGCATAGCAGCTGGTATAGTCTTTCTGAAGTCAGTTGAACATGTAAAAAAAACACCTGGCAATAAAATTTAATGAGTTCATAGGCGCCCCTAAAAAAGTTTTCTGTTATAGGTAAAAAATTATAATAATTTGTTTATAATGTGCAGAAAATTTCTATTATATGTTCATTTGACCAACAACATATTTTAATTATTTATGTCCTCAAACAATTTTATTATATTGATGGTAAATTTCGTTTCGTTCCGTTTCAAAAGGTCTCCAAAATGCCATGTTGTAATAATATTATTTCCCCTTTTCACAAATTGTAATATCAATGATTATTAATAGAAGGTGCCTATAATAAATTAAAATTACCTGAATCACACCAAATTCCGAATTGCTGCACTGCACTGTTCAACAATTTGACAACCACTTGTCAACAGCTGAGATTTATTGCCCAGTGGCCCAATGCATCTGCCTTTGTATTTCGTTTGCCCACGCTCGCATTCTTCAACTGATCGTATACATTTCTACCATCTCCATGTTTAGTTTGACCAGACCTGTATATGGGTATGGCTAAATTAATATGGGAACAAGTTTTTCAAATATTCCAATGCCCAGTTGCTGCGTCAGCGACCGAACCTGGTACATACTGTCAACCTCTTAGTTCTTCAATTGATATCGGAGAGACTATAACTACGCTGTGAATGTCAGATTTAGAAATTAGTTTGCAATCAAACTTTCTCTTAGATCTCAATAATTTAAATTGTCATTTGCTAAATGCAAAAAATTCAGTTGTTTAAAAATGTTTACTACAGAAGAATATACTGATATGTATTTAGTGCATGGCGAAATGCAATGTAACTCAAGCAGTGGCATGTCTATATGCCAAAAAATTTCCGAACACAAGACATCCTCTTCATAGCACTTTTACTGCCCTGCACTAAAGATTAAGAGAAATTGGATCAGTGATTCCTAAAAAATATGACGGGGAAGACATGCTGATATAAGTGAAGAACACGAGGAAGACATATTGCTGGAAATTGAAGAAAATTCCAAAATTAGTGTTATACAATATGTCTGAATCTTTCAAAAACTACTGCAGAAGGCATTTTGCACAAGGAAAACCTATATCCTTTTCGTTTTAGAAAAGTTCAGGTATTGAAGAAGCCGATTTTACCTTCAAAACCATAATTTTTTTTTTAATATTTTCTGTGATGAAGGTACTTTCACAAGGGGCGGAATTTTTGATATGCGTAGTGCTCATCAGTATTTCTATGTTGGTGACAACCTTCATTCCATAAAAGAGATGAAACATCAGGATAGATTTAGCATAAATATTTGGATAGTTCTTGGAAATAATCTACTAAGACCTGTGCAACTGCCCAATCACCTAATTTATTAGATAACATACCTTTGGATATTTGACAGAATTATGGTTTCTACATGACGGTTATCCGGCTCACTTCAGGACAACTGTTTGTGAATTTTTAAATGCTGCTTACAGACAGCAGTGGATCAGAAGAGGGGGTCCAGTTGCTTGGCCAGCAAGGTTTCTCGATTTAAATTCTTGCGATTTTTGTATCTGGGGATATCTAAAATCATTATTCTATTCTCAACCATCACAAATAGCTTTGGCCATAAATCTACATAAGGATTTGAGAATCATTAGAGAAACGAGTCACTTTATGCATTTGCATTGAAAGTAATGACCGCCATGTAAAGCATCTTTTAAAAATTTCCAGTTAATCGTTGTTTTGTTATAATTTTTAACAGTTTATTAAACCTATTTTACTTATTTTTATTTGAGGAATGTCCTCTTAAATTTTGTACTTTCCCGCAGGACACCCTGTATAGCATAGTTTGTACAATACACTCAAATAATGAGAGTTGTTAATATTCTGAAAATGTATTTATTTAGTCTTCAATTATCCCATCCCATTCAAAGTACACCCCCTGTGATGTTATACATTTATACCAACATAGTTTCCAGTTTAGGAAACACCTCTTTAGGTATCACTTTATCTCATCTATTGTTAAAAAAACATTATCCTTTGAATACCCTTTTGAGTTTGGGAAATAGGAAAAGTCACAGGGCGCCTTGTCCAGAGAATATGGTGTTGCGACATCACAATGGCAATGCGGTATGCGCCAGCGCATTGTTGTGTAAAATCTACGAGTTTTCCTCCTGAGTTTGGGTCTGAATCATGCATATAGCCCAAAACTTGTACGTAGTACTCTTTGTTGACTGTATGACCGGGCGGTAAAAACTTGTGATGAACTATTCCATTGTAGTTGAGCAGCTTTTTCTTGGCCTTGTCTCTTTAGAGATTGATTGACAATTGAGCCTTTGTTTTGACATTGTAAACGTATACCCACATTTCGTCGCTAGTTATAATGCGACTTCAGTAAGCATTTGTTTAGCGGTGGCTATGTGATACTGGTTTCGTTGAAAATTCAGTAATTTAAAATTTTGCTGCCACTCTTTTTATGCTCAAAACTTTCGTAAAAATCACTTCGCATGAGCTGTATGAAATTCATATTTCTTCAGAAACCTCTTTGATGGTGATTCTTCTATTAGCAAGCACAATCTCTTGAAGTTTTTCCATTTTTTTATTATTGGATCTGATAGGGCGCCCCGACCACGCATCATCCTCAAGGTCTTCTCGATCTTCCTGAAAACATTTGTATCATTGATAAACTTGTGGCTATGACATACCATCGTCACCAAAGGCCTTCTTTAACATTTAGAACGCTTGGCTACATTTAATAATTTCATTTATAACACAACATTTCAGACAAACAAAAAATCGCCAAAAACATTGAAGTAAGTCTTATTCATTCGCTGGCTAAACACAAAGCATGGCAGCTGCCTAAAAATTAACAAGTACGTCATTGACAATGTTACCAATACTCAAAAATAGAATCAATAAGATTGACAAGATACAGCATGTGCAATTTGAAAATTCTCGTTACTTTTTAATCAAACGTTTAGTCCAATCAATCTGTCACGGCCTTATGTTAAATTTACAAAAAAATACCACCTGGAAACAAAAATTTGGAAAAATAGGGAAAAAAAATTCTAAGAAAGATAGTTTATTTTTCCTGTGGCGCATAAACGGCGAAGTTAACCTAAAAAATTCATAAAAGTAAAAAAAACGTTTTTTTGCTAATTAAAAAAAACGAACTCCATTCGAAAAAAGTTAAATGAGAAAGAAAAAGTAGCTATTAAAAAACGTATCGATTCGTATTTATATATCGGTTGCTATATTACTTTTCGAGATATATCGAAAAAACCGTCAAAAATCGTAGCCCTCGGTAAGCAAAAAACGTATCTTTTTTAAAATTAAAAAATATTAAAAATTTTTCGAGATATCGATTTTTCGAAAAAACCGTCATTTCGAAAATCGGCTCTTCTTGCTCGACGAATAGTCATAGAGAAACGAATCAGGGCTCATTTTTTTCCTTAAGAGTTGTACTTTAATGGTAAAAAAGAGTGATAACGATTTTATTCATTTCAAGTGTCTTTGAAAAAAGTAAAAATATTTTGCTCGTGTTTTTCTTGAATATCTTTTTTGATTTTCATTTTTCGTTTTACGCGAATTTAAAAAAAACGTTACTCTACGACCTTCTGGAGCCGAGATATATATATATTTTTTAAAATTCCACAGGCCGCTATTTAAGTGCTACAGCGACCATTCTTACAGAGATTGAAGTTGAAGAGCTCCGAAAACTGAATTTGCGCGTTCAAAAGCGCTCTTACTTTCAAAATCTTAATTATCTCGACTTCTGGACCACATACAAAAATTCTTTTGTACTTAATTTGGAGTAGCTCAATGAGATAAACCAAAATATGATGTTTACGACAGTCTCAAAAGCATAATTACCTTTGAAAAATGTAATTTTCCTTTAGTCTAAAATTATCTCATCTCTTGTTAACATTTCAATAATTGTTTATGAAATAAAGTAAGTACAACGTTTTATGGTTATTATCTTTTTGTTATAAAAGTATTACAATATATTTATTTAATTATCGTACAGAAAATTACGTGGTATAAAAATGTTCGTAGATTACATTTTTTAGTTTCACAGCTTATTAAGTATATCACTTATGTTTCAATTCTTCTTCTCTTCAATTCCCTCGGTTGTGATTCATTTTCTTCTTCCATGGTTTCGTTTCCTATATTTTGCACGCAATCAACTTAATTTTCCATATAATTCGTTGCATCAATGAGTGATTCAAACGCGTCAAAAGAATCATCGTCTAATTGGATGTTCGGAGTTTCAAAATTTTCACATTGCGATGCGTAACAATGTAAACAAACACTTGTACATTTCAAAATTTTTTTTTTTTTAAATTTTATTATTCCAACCGCTGACGCAGCTACTTGACACTTTTTTTTCAAAGATAATAATGCTTTTGAGGCTGTCATAAATGTCACATTTTGTTTTATCTCGTTGAGCTACCCCAAATTAAGTACAAAAGAATATTTGTAGGTGGTCCAGAAGTCGAGATAATAAAGATTTTGAAAGTAAGATCGCTTTTGAACACGCGAATTCAGTTTTCGCAGCGACCGAGTAGTGTTACCCCCACTCCGCCGCCCGCTACAGTTACAATGGCTATATGCAAGACAGTGCCGACAATAGCTACTAAACCCCGCCCATCCGCCATGTTGCATCCAATGTCAAATTGAAATTAGCTTTGTTCCTAGTAGAATCCAAAACAGTTTCCAACAGTCAGACGCATGTGCATATGGATGTAATGCTTACATAAGGTTCAAAATTCATTGTTTCGAATCAAATGCGATTGCGTCGGACTGTTGGAAACCGTTTCTAATGCACTAGGAACAAAGCTAGTAACTTTTATAAAAAATAAATTAAGTACAAAAGTATTTTTCTTTTAAATTTTATGCACAGTTTTAGGCAAATAACTCCCTTAGAAAGTGATTTTAAATAATGAATGAATATAGAATCTACTTGCGCAATAGGGAAGGATAAATATATAATAATAACTATTGGTTTATATTTTCTAGGCAAGTAAATTTAAGCATACCTACATTACACAATGAAATTTATTGGGTTTACATTAGAAAAACTAATAATTAATACTAGTGATAGTATTTGTTACAATAAATGTCCAGCAATACTTTTACTTGCAACATAATAAATCTTTTAACAATTTTATTTTTGATCTGATGACAATTTGGTAGATCTAAATTTAAACCAGACATTTCTTTTAAGAAAAACTTTTTTAAATTTATGTTTTATCAGGATTCAGTCGCAAAAAATGTTGTAAAAGTACTTTCCATCTGCAAGAAGAAACAAAATACCGCTTCATTGCAAAAATGACTTAATGTTCTCTAAATCTCTTAAGTATTCTAAATTTTGAACATGTTTTATAGAACGGCGTTTTAGAACCAACAGCATGCAGAAAGTTTGTACAAGTTTTTGACGTTTTAACGATACTTTGGGCAATATATCCACACAAATTATAAAGATAATTTAATTCACTAAAACTAAGATTAAATTTTAGTTCTTATATGTTAGCAGGAACCTTAACTTATAAGTAGGACTTATATTTTTTGTTATGATGTCCAAAAAGCCTAAAAGAAATTCACGGTCATCGTCCTCATGAAGCTTCTGCAGACATTATAACTATCCCTTAGCACAGAATACCCAGTAGTTTCACTAGTAATCACCAAAATTAAAATAAAACAATACAAATATTGAATAACACCATAAGAACGCTCCTGACACCATGACATTTCACAGATGAATTTGACACTGGATGCAACATGGCAGCTAAAATCACGTGGACCAATTAAAAATGAAACACTCTATTGTCGCTACTATCTTGTATAGAGTCACTGTAGGTACAGTTAGCTCGCGCCGCGCTCGAATGCTTCGATTTAACGCACAATTAAAAATGCAGAATTGGCTAAAATGAACCACAGTATTTTTAAAAATATCTGCTTCAGAAGGTCGTAGAGCAATGTTTTTTTAAAAAAATTCACGTAAAAATGCCAGCAATCAATTCCTGTAATAGACATTATCGAGAAATGAAAATCGAAAAAGATATTCAAGAAAAAGGCGATCAATAAATTTTTACTTTTTTCAAAATCATTTGAAATGAATAAAATCGTTATCACTCTTTTTTACCATGAAAGTACACTCTTATAGAAGAAAATGAGCCCTGATTCGTTTCTCTACGACTATTCCTCAAGCAGAGCTGATTTTCGAGACTACCTTTTTTGTTTGCTGATGGCTACATTTACAGCAGGTAGCAAGTCAAAACCTTAATTTGCAAGAGATACAGTAAAAACAAAAAAAGGCGATTTTTGACGGTTTTTTCGATATATCGAAAAGTAATATAGCAATCGATATATTTAAAAATACGAATCGATAGGTTTTTTTAATAGCTACAACTTTTTTCGAATGAAGTTCAAGTTTTTTTTTATTAGAAAAAAACCGTTTTTTTGACTTACGAATTTTTTAGGTTAACTTCGCCGTTTATGCGAAGGAAAAATATATTAGGAAAAATACACTATCTTTCTTAGAATTTTTTTTCCTATATACCACATTTTTTGTTCCCAGGTGATATTTTTTGTAAGCTCTTCCACCTGTTGATTGGACTACTTATACAGTTTTTAAATTTGGTGCCTACCAAATTCACACAGTTACTAAAAACAAAATATTATTATATCTTTCAGCGGAACTAGTCGCATATGAAATAAGAAAAGTGCAGTTCACATGTTATGAGGCACAAGTCAAAGTGGATTCAGTGTCTTTAGACACTAGTAAAAACAATCCTTGACATTCATCTAGCGTTAGAGTCAATTTGGTCAATTTCAAATTTTTTTCCACTGGTGATAAAATATGTAAATAAACGGAAGCAGAAAGTATTTAATATAATTTTGTCTTTTTTATTATAGCTTTGCTCATCATTTGGCAGTAAGAAGGCTGTGTTTCCGACCTATCTTTGGGAAGGCGGGTTATAAAGAACAAGACAAAAACGTTATCCAATTGGCAAGTTGCAGTTTAGATCATTCATTAAGAATATACAATATCTTTTTAAATAAACTTATGTAATTTAGTTTTAGTTTAATAAGTTTATGTTATCCTTAAAGCTATTACATTATTTATTTGTTTTCCAATACTTTGTTAATTGTATGTAGCTTTAAGTAAATACATTTTTTACACAGGTTATGCCCTTGTTTTCAGTTGCTGACTTAATAAAAATGTCTTGATATAATTAATCTTCAATCATCTCGTTTTCTAGAGCTTCCGGTGGCATCACTTAGATCACCTATTTTCATTTTTTTAAAGAACAATATCTAAAATCAATTTTTGCAAAAAAAGTCAAAATATCATTTAGGTCATTTTTTTAAGTTACAGTGTAGATAAAGAGCCATTTTCATATGAACTACCAATAAAATTTAATATGTTAAATTTTCGATAATTTCAATGTGTGTGTACATTTAACACCGATCAGTTCTGATTTTACAACTAAATGATAATAAAATAAAAAAATATCAAAGTTGATACAGTTTTTCGATAAATAAACGGAATTTTACCCACAGACAAAATATTTCAGTTTGTGACAAGGCCTACTTAATTTTTTAGAAGTAAAAAAATGTTGTAAATCTCATTACTAAAGTATGTTTTTTTCGTAAAGCAAACCATGGTATTCTTATATATTTTTGGCCACTGAATCTGAATCTGACCTCAGTGTGTCCTAGGTACATAGGTGAGACAACTGACGATCGATCCAGCTGCTTTAGTACCGTTACTCACGACAAGGAGATGTGTATACACAGAGCTTGTTAGTTCGTCGCTTGTCTCACCTACAACATACTGATGAGGACCAATAAGTCCGAAACTGGTCTATGTCTGGTGGGTTAAACCGACGAACGATTCTAGCTGTTGTACTAGGAGTTACGAGTATAATCCAATGCCGGGGGGCATGTAGTCCGCGGAGTAGTTGTTTCTCGCAATACTGGAAATTTAAATTTTTTACATTCAAATAATGAATGATAAAAGTCCAATATACCTATCTCAATTTATTATTACAACTTAAAAATAAATGGGACAGAAGAAATCCAACCGAATATATGAGATTGACAGATATTTTCTCCAATCTACAAGTAATCATGCGTAGAAGATTTCCTGTGATTTTCATATTTTCAAGAGGGAGATGACGGTGAAGTGTACAGTGAAGACGAATATACACCGTCGGCTGAAAAAAAACATCCAGAAATGTTTAATCAGGGTTTACCAAAAGGCGGAGCTAAGTAGCTGGTTAGAGAAGTGGAATAGAAAAATATTCTATTTGAAGGAACCAAATCTTCTGTGTATCACTAACATGAAACAAGTTTTCGGAAATATTTTTCTTCAGATAAATAGAGTACGTTACTGTATTGTTCCGATGTTAAATGCCTAATAAACAAGTATAAGCGCAATGTTTATAAAGACGAGTGGAGGTTATTCATTGACTTTTCAAAACGAGAGCTGAAGACAGTTCTTCTAATATAATTGTCAGCGGTCGGCGCCATAATAAGGTATAGGCAGAGTAGGCACACGCCTATAGGCGCAAGCTGCTAGGGGTGGGGAAAGGAGTTGAATACAAAAATAAAAAAAATATTTTTGTAAAAAATTTTGGAAATTTTTGTAAAATCCTTATAGTTTCCGAGAAAAAAATTATAGAAGTTGTAGTATTTTCAACCTTTATATCGCTGGACTGCTGTAGTCTTTAGCATCATTCGTGTTATACGCTGTGAGCAATGCGCTCTCTCTCCACGTGGTTCCAAACGATTCCGAATACTGAAATCCGATATTAGTATTAAAGTTTTTGCGATAGTGTTTACATTAGTTCTTCAGGTACCAAATTTGCTTTAGGTGTATAGAAACTCGGGAATTGATGGATTTTGTTTTAATTTATGGTGAAGCAAGACAACATTTGTGTTAGTTCGTGGAAACTGGTTAAGATGGGCCCAAATGTGTTTACATGTCGATGGACAAAATTTTGAACAGTTGTAACATCAGGTAGGTATGTCAAATTATTTTATTAACTAAAACCAGAAATTAATTTTATTAATTAATAATAACAATAATTTTATTTATTTCTTTCCTTGGGAAAGAAATTCTCCCAATTTTTGGTTTATTTTTTATTACACTTTACCGCCGTGCCGGTCGCCGACTGCATACTTTGCCTTGCGTAAAGTCAGGTTTTACAGTGGACCAGTTTCCAGTGCTGTGCAGAAGTATCACCTTCGAACTGTCCTTTTTGATTTTTTTTTTAAATTAAATAATAAATAAATACAAAATTGTATGCGTAAGAATCCCGTGTATATTCAATTTTTTTTTTTGGATAAGTTCTGAATCACCCGGTTTATTAGCTTTTTTAAATTATTTTTAATTAATTTAAATTTCTTTTTGTAAATAAATACTTATGTACATACCTAATATTTTTTTTGTTTTTAGATTTGTCTTTCTGTTGTTTTTTATTTATATTTTTTATACAGGGTGATTCAGTCATAATGTCATTAATTTTAAGAGCAGATATTGAAAAATGAGTATAATACGATGTCGTGATTAAAAAAAATGAAATGCATTGAAGCAGAAAAAAAATATTTTCAAATCATTTTTCAGGCTGTTACTCACCGGCCGATGTCAGCCGGTTATTCACAATTTGCGCACGGCTGCGATATGAACAACGCGCCCTAGATGCAATGTTGCCATATTTATATATTTTCGCTCATATAAGGACAATAAATAAACGGTTTGCTCACGTCAGCCTATAATTTAAAATGCTATAAATTATTTTTAAGCTCGGACTTACAGCAAATGTTCAAATACATTACCGTTACCGTCTATGCACAAGTGTACACGTTGGATAGATGAGCGGCGGATGCGATGGAATAAACCAGGGTTGTTACGTATTTCTTCAGCGGCATCTTCGATACGATTCCGCAACTGCTCTACATTCTCTACCTCGATGTGATACACGACAGATTTCATATAACCCCATATATAAAAGTCCATAGGATTATGGGCCCTCATCTCCCTATCCACCGATTGGGACATTGATTATCTAAAAATCCACGGACATCGCGAGCAAAATGGACCGGAGCTCCGTCGTGCATATACCACATATCCCGTAGCATCTGAAGGGGAAGGTTTTCAAACAATTCTACTAAAAATTGAAAGTAACGCGGCCCATTCAGATGTTCAGGTAGAAAATGCGGCCCAATTAAACGATCGCCATATACTCCTGCATTGACACTGAATCTCCTCTGAAAGCTAAAGTGTGCGGGGTTTCAGTTGACCAAATGTGACTATTATGGCTACAAAGAAATTAGCTCTGTTTCACTTTAAATAAAATTTAATATTGAAGTCACAAAACTCCAAGAGTTCAAGTAATTTAAATTTCGTTTCGTAACCATTTCAATTTCATTACAGAAATAATGACATAAGAAACCAACTCACAAGATAAATTATAAAGAGAGGGTGAAATGTATGTAGTATTTAAATATTGACTGTAATAGAAGATAAAAAAAACAATCGGACGGAGACAAAAAACAACTCGGTGCGTGTTTCCCACATAGGCTAACCTGTGTCTAGGTCACTGACCTTCTATCTAACCCACTTTTGATTTGCACGTGCACTATAATCTAGGAACCAGATAGGGTGCCGTGGCCAACCAGAGTACCACGGCTGCAAACAACTTATTCGTAGTACTTTGAGCTCCTGAATCCAAAAAACTTGGTCGCAAAGCCTGAAAGTGGTCAATTTAATTGTTATCAACAAATTAAATGTTTAAATGGCTGTAAAAAGTTTATTTTTATAGCTAGTAAACGGAACCCTTTTCGGCCGCCGAGTATAGACTCGGCGGCCGAAATTATAAAGAGTGACTAATACATAATATAAAAACACTATTACCATAATGCGTATAAAATATAAAATGATTTCTATACGGTTCAATATTATTTATCTTTGTGCCGCTCGCCATGCACGTCGGTAGAATCTATAATCGTGTATAGACTGAGTTACACTGAACGTCGATCTATATTTTATCTCTGTCTTTTGCACTTGGTAGGGAATAGGGAAATGCTTTTTTAATGGGTGTAAACGGATTTGATTTGCCCGACCTGAGAAACGTAATAGCATAAGCGTAGACGAGGGGTCTAATTCCATGGCTATAATAAATTTATAAATTAAAAAAACACAACTGGGACGTTTTAAAATGCTGTAATAATTAAAATTGATCAAAGTACCGGTTATAGCAAACCGTAAAAAATATTAGATGTTATGTTTTATTATGTTTTTTCAATATTTTCTATATCTTGTTGCCTTTTACGCAGACACGCCAATGGATTTTCATTCCCGGCACGCTTCATCCCCCTTACTAGTCCAAGAGCTAACGATGAATCACTATCTATAATTTTGGCCGTCGAGTATAGACTAATACGAACTGTAGTAGGATCGTATTCCATGCAAAGTAGAGCAAAAAGTTGTCGGTCTTTTATCAAAGGAAAATCGTGTCATCAAATTGATTGTAATGAATAGGGATGATTGTTTTCGAATGTACGGTTATTACAATTTATCATTTTTAATATTATTAACGTTTTCACGTTTTATTATTTATTATGTTAAATAGTACACAGTTTTAGTATTTCAATTTATTATTCAATATGCAGTTGCGTATAATCAAAGTTTACATAATAAATGTAAACTTTAATGTAAACATAAACTTTGGTGTAACCTACTTAGGTACTTATTGTTTTTGAGAAAGTAAATATGTTTTTTACCTGTTTAAAATGCCAGCACGAGTAAAACAGCGGTTATCCGTCCAGCGCACTTTGTTTTAAAAATAAAAATAAAGTTAGCATCTGCTGCACTTCGATTTAGGAACCAACTGCAAAATTCAAGACGATTGGGGAAATCAGCTGGTTCGAAAGCTTAAACTTTTGAAAATGGTACGGGTTGAGTGAATTCTCGCGCAATATCCGCAAACTTTGGTTTGTGATATCTCCAGTCGCCTTGAAATTGTTCTTGTGGACATAGTAGGCTGCTCCTCGACTAAATTTAAAACAGCCTCTATCACATTTAAGTCATTTTGTCGATGTCCTGCACGTTCGCTGCGCGGTATGGTATGATAGATGCAGTTGGAAAAATGCGGGAGATATGGAAGGTGGTAG